TCTTTATATGAAGACAAATGTTTGTGTATGACCTCAGCTTCTGTCTGACGTCATACGCCAAACACACGAGCAGAAAAGGGTCCCCTCTAATGCAGGGAGGGACAGCCAGTGCATGTTTGAGAAAGTCCATCGAGTGTTGTCTTCTCCACTTCCCTGTTTGTGTGTATATTTGTTGTCCCCCCCCCCCCTCCCCTCCCCCTCTTTAATTAAAAAAAAAAATATCACACGGGTTACTTTCCTGGTATTGTTTTAATTGTAATTCACCCACACACACAAATTGTGAAGTTGCATTCTTCTTCCTCTTCTTCTTCGCATTCACCAGCTGTAAACTCTGGTTGTTCATCCACTTCTGGACTGCAGTCCTGTTCCAGAACCTGAGTGTTGTGTGTGCATCCGTTTTACAGATCTGACTCATTTGTATGCAGACTGCTGATTCCTTGCCTCTCAGGCAGATGCACTCAGACTTTAAAGGAAGCTCCCAATTAGTCGACTCTTACGACATGCTTTTGGGTAGGCAGTGGGTCTATTCTAATTTTCCCTATAATGGGGATCCGGAACCCACACGGGGAAGTTGCATTGTTGACTAATTTAGTTCAATCAACGACAAATTAAAATTATGGTTTCTAACTGTTTTGTTTTTGGGTACCAGATAACAAATCACAGCTCATCATTTCACAGAAACTGTAGAAGCTAAGTAAAGACAATTCAAAATTTGATTAGAATGCTCTATGAAAGGCAAGACGCACATAAATCCAAGTCAACGCTTGGAATAAAATCTTTATCAACAAGCAAAACAAAGAAATGTCATCCTTCCTCTTTTTTTTAGTTTCTTTGTTATCGATGTTTTTGTTGCTGTTGTTGGTGGCGATGTTGTTGTTGTTGCTGTTGTTCTTCTTCTTTTTCTTCTTCTTCTTCTTCTTCTTCTTCTTCTTCTTCTTCTTCTTCTTCTTCTTCTTCTTCTTCTTCTTCTTCTTCTTCTTTTTCTTCTTCTTCTTCTTCTTCTTCTTCTTCTTCTTCTTCTTCTTCTTCTTCTTCTTCTTCTTCTTCTTCTTCTTCTTCTTCTTCTTCTTCTTCTTCTTCTTCTTCTTCTTCTTCTTCTTCTTCTTCTTCTCTTCTTCTTCTTCTTCTTCTTCGTCTTCTTCTTCTTCTTCTTCGTCTTCTTCGTCTTCTTCGTCTTCTTCTTCTTCTTCTTCTTCTTCTTCTTTCTTCTTCTTCTTCTTCTTCTTCTTCTTCTTCTTCTTCTTCTTCTTCTTCTTCTTCTTCTTCTTCTTCTTCTTCTTCTTCTTCTTCTTCTTCTTCTTCTTCTTTCTTCTTCTTCTTCTTCTTCTTCTTCTTCTTCTTCTTTTTTCTTCTTCTTCTTCTTCTTCTTCTTCTTCTTCTTCTTCTTCTTCTTCTTCTTCTTCTTCTTCTCTTCTTCTTCTTCTTCTTCTTCTTCTTCTTCTTCTTCTTCTTCTTCTTCTTCTTCTTCTTCTTCTTCTTCTTCTTCTTCTTCTTCTTCTTCTTCTTCTTCTTCTTCTTCATCTTCTTATTCTTTTTCTTCTTATTCTCTTCTTCTTCTCTATTTTCTTAGAAAAGGAAGAAGAAAAAGAAATTGTCGAAAAAGAAGTGGACAAATTAGAAATAGGAAGAAGAAAAAGAAGAAGAAGAAAAGAAGAATGAGAAAAAGAAGAAAGAAGAAGAAGAAGAAGAAGAAGAAGAAGAAGAAGAAGAAGAAGAAGAAGAAGAAGAAGAAGAAGAAGAAGAAGAAACCAACACCAACAGAAACTATAAAACTAGCCAAAAGAGGCGTGGTAATACATTTTTTATTTTTGTTGTCGATATAGGCTTCAGTCTTAATGTTTCTTTGATCTAAGTGTGTCTCGTCTGCCATTAAGCATTCTAATAATACTGAGCTTGAATTAGTTCCCACGCTTGTTATAGATTTATCGATGACCGAGGATGTGTTATCTGATAAATAGGGTAATTTTTAACTACAGTGACAAAAGACAACAGCTGACAGGAAAACATGTTTCCCACACAGCACGCTATGAGTAGGGACAGTCGTACGTTCATTCATTGTTTTCTCCTAACACATAAATTGGACAAACAACACACAACATCGACATAGCTTCGCCGCTGACATGCGCGTTTTTCTGCCCTCCCACCTTCTTTCTTCACACGTAGTGACATTTATATCGACGCTAGGAATTATACAGATACTGCAGCTGTTGATAACAATAGGTACCTTATTGGTCTTTTTTTCCCCTTCTTCAAACGGATACTTATGGTGTAAGTAATAGCGGCGCTTGTGTAATGCATGTGTGCGTGCGGTGAATGTTGGTGGCTTGTGTGTATTTTGTTGTGAGTGTTGTATACACCCCTATTTAGCTCGTTCTAAATGCTGCCTCTTTCTTATCTACCTATCTATCTATCTATCTATCTATCTATCTATCTATCTATCTATCTATCTATCTATCTATCTATCTATCTATCTATCTATCTATCTATCTATCTATCTATC